GCGGCCGCGCCCCCCCCAAACCCCCCCCTGCGGGTGAGGCCCGGGACCTCCCGCGGGCAGGTGGCAACCGCGAGGGCGGCGCGTCCGACTCAGCCCGCGGGCCGGCCGGAGAAGTGGGGGTGTCATTGCCCCGGGAGCCGTGGTCCTCAAATCCTCCCCGGACGGCTGACTGCGCGGGCGAGCGTGGGATTTCGGTCATACCTCCTGCCAGATTGCATGACCACAGGGTCCCCCACGGCCTCTTGCGGAACAATGCCGGGCATGCAGGACCCCAGGAATACGGCGGAATGAATGGCCCGAGCAGTGCCGAGGGGTGCCGGCCTCGCTGCCTGCTGCGAGCGGACTCCCTGACGGCCAGGTGGTGCGGGGCTGCAGAGACCACCGGGACTGCCCCGCACAGCCTTTCAGAACCAGGGAGTGGTCAACTAATGGGACCGAAAGCTGCTTCTTGCATTTGCCATCTCGGCAGCCTTTGGTCACCCCAAGGAGAGCCATTTTAGTGGGTCAAGAGCCAGACTGCTTAATAGAGAGTGACTGAAAAGCAAGGAAAGGTCGAAGAGAAAAGGGGAGCAGCAGTGGTGGGCCGGGGGTGCCATCTCTGCCCTTTTTGCCTTTTTTTTTTTTAAAGGTGGTAGGGATGATAAAGTGTCTGTGCCAGCCCTGGCCCATAGAGATACACCCAAGCCAAGTAACTATAGCGTCGTCGGTAGTGAAGGTAAAAAGAAATGTGTGTTTAAAAGGGTTTTTTTGTGTTTTTTTTTTTTTTTTTTTTTGCCATAGGGCGCATGTGGAAGAGGGTCCAGAATTGAACCACAAAGTCGGCCATGAGGGGTCCAGCCGCTTTAACTACCATGGCCCTGGATTAATTAAAATTTGACCAGAGAAGGGGGGAGAGAGAGAAAGTGAAAAAGCAAGCCACCAGGTCCAGGACCTGAACCATGGTAGGCCATGTGGGACCCCAGCGCCCTTAAGCACTATGCCATCTGCCGGCCCCAGATTTGTTTACTTTTTTTAGAGAGATTTTTGTTATGAAGCATTTGTGGGAGACAGACAGAAAGCAAGAAATCACCTCCCCGGGGGGAATGGCCACACCGCAACTGCTTCTCCTCCATTCTCTGGGGATTTTAGGCACATACTTACAAACCCAGCATGAGTTTCGAGCTGCTGGGTCTGGGACATGAACCACTGATGGCCTTATGGGAGTCCAGCGACATAACCATTATACCATCTGCTGGTCCCCAAATTTCCCCCCCAATATCTTAATATTTGTATTACTTAAGTATGGAATTTAAAAAGATGTGAAGTCAAGTAATTTACATCTTGAAACTCATCCAGTGTAACATGTAGCATTACTATTTCATCTGGGCTCACCCCCTCCCTGCCGAAAGTCCTTCCAGGTATTCTGTAGTTTTACTTCCCAGTTTCTGGTTAATAGTGAAGGGGGCATTTTCTACTTGGGTCATTTACAACCTCTGGAGTCGGCCATGGTCCCTGGTCTTGATGGAGTCACCCGGATTTGTCAAGGAGGAAGGCTTTATTATGAGTGCTATCAGTGGAGACATAGCTAGGTTTGTTCAAAAGCCAGTCTCCTTTTTCTCTGTTTTTTAAAGGGAGATTTTTGCTACAGGGCACATGCACTCGCCAGAGAGAGACAGACAGAAAACGAGAAGCCACTCTCCCCCAGGGGGATGGGCATGCATGCACATGTGCCTGGCGTGCATTTTAAGCCACCAGGTCTGGGACTTGAACCACAGTCGACTACGTGGAAGTCCAGCAACATAACCATTATACCATCTGCTGGTCCCAATTTTAATGACATTTTTCACATAACCCAGGACATGCAAGTAATAATTTAATCATGTAGTCAATATTTTAAAATTATTAATGGAGTTTTACAATTTTTTGCTGTACGTCTTAAAGATTGCATGTGTATTAGGTATCTTAATTTCCTTCTCAGAGTAGGAGGCCAGGTCCTCCGAGAGTGAGGGCTGTGTGGACGAGGGCCCTGCACATCTCAGCTGAACTAGACACATCTGAAATGTTGGTGGCCACATGTACCTACTAGCTGCCATATTGAACAGGGCAAGTCTGTTACGGAGAAGAATCAGGACAGATTGCCATACTGACGAAACAGAACCAGGGCAGCTGCCATGGTGGACACGCCCCTGTAACTAGAGGCCGAGGCCACGAGAGACGCCTGGATAGATTCCAGCTGACGCCTGATGTGGTGGCAGTACCTGTGGTTCCAGCTACTGGGAAGGCTGAGGATCACAACACAAAAATACCTTGTCCTGAAAGAGAGAGAAGTGGGGACAGCAGATGGCATAGCAGTTATGTTGCTGTGCTCCCACATGGCCGACCGTGGTTTGAGTCCCAGACTCACTACCTTGAAACTCATGCCAGACGTGTGTGGATGCTCACCCAAGATCCTGGGAGGAGAAGGGATTGTGGCGTGGCCATCCCCTTGGGGAGTGATTTCTCATTTTCCCTCTCACTTTCTGTCTCATGTGCCCCAAGGCAAAAACTTCTGTCTTTAAAAAAAGAGAGAGAGATAGATAGGGCCCAGCAGGTGGCATGGTGGTTAAGGCAATGGATTCCCACATTGCCAACTGCGGTTCTAGTCCTAGGTGCCACAGCTGAAAATCACAACAAATATATATGTTAAATAAAAGAGAGAGAGAGAGAAGGGACCAGTGTACCTAAAAAGGTAGAAGGATTGGCATTCAGAGCACAAGTGGAGAAGTTACCTTTAATTAGGATGAAACTTTTCCCTTGGGAAAGAGAGAAGAGAGCCAGCATTAAGTTAGTGATACATTTGGAATGGGAAAGAGTATGAAATAAAAGGGAAGTTGAGAAAGTTCAGGCCTAATCACTCTTAATTTGCTTCTCAATGTAGGGGGCCAGGTCACCTGAGAGTGAGAGGGCTTTGTGGAAAAGGGCACTGAGGGCCCTGCACTCAGCTGGGCTCCCTGAGGCTGCAGCAGCACCTGGGGGCCTGTTGGGAGGGCAGAATCTGTCTTCCTCCCAGAACGACTGAACTGAAATCTAATGAGCTCTCCTAGTGATTTTTATGCAGGGTAGTTCCAGAATGGCAGTACTGAAAGTTGAAGGAGAGCACCTTTATTCATTTGTTTATTGAGACGTTTTTGCCTTAGGGTGCTTGCTGAGTGGAGGCAGAGACCAAGTGAAAGAGAACTCAACCCCCAGGGTATTGGCCACACAGCAGTCTCCCCGCAGGATCCTGGGCAGGCACACCCTGCTTAATTCTCAAACCACCCAGTCTGGGACTAGAACTGTTGTCACCTGTCAGCTGTGTGGGAATCTAGTGACTTAACTGCTACGCCATCTGCTGGCCCCGGGAGAGCGCCTTTATGGACCAGGAAGAGAAGCTTAGAGGGCACCAGGCAGTGGGGGAGCCCAGGCAGTCTGTGGTGACCGCAGTTTACTTGTCCGCCATCTCCTTCAGTCGGCTGTGCGGCCCGCTTAGAGACCGACAGTGGGTAGGACTGGGCTGACCAAGGTTGGAGGCTAAGAGCAGGTGAGGCAGAAAGGCGTGAGTGAGTGACAGAGGCTTGAGAGGGGCTGAAGTGACCAACCAGGAAAGAAAGCAAAGCCAAGAACAGGCACAGAGACTAGGAGGGAAGGGGCTGGAGTCCTTGATGGGATTGCCGGCAGGTGAATGAGAGCAGGCAGTGGGTAAGCTGGAGAGGGGCTGTGGCTGGAGAATGCTTTGTCAAGATCATGGAGTTCCAAGGCTTTCGAGGTCGCTCTAGTCCAACCTCCTATTCATTGTAGGATCTCTTCCTTTGCGCCACTCTGTTTCAACATACATCCAATGGGGGCCAGCAGGTGGCATGGTGGTTAAGGGCGCTGCTCCTACATGGCCGACCACAGTTTGAGGCCCAGACCTGGCGGCTTGCTTTCTCACTTTCCCTGTCTCTCTCCCTCTCTGGTCAAATTAAAATAATAAATAAATGGGACCAGCAGGTGGCGTGGTGGTTAAGGTGCTGGACACTCCCACATGGCCAACCACAGTTAGAGTTCTGGACCTGGTGGCTTGATTTCCCATTTTCCATCTTGCTCTCTCTCAATCTCTCTCTGGTCAAATTAAAGTAAATGAATGCATAAATAAAAAATTAAATAATTCTTTAAAAAAATAAATAAAGTTAAATAACTTAAAAAATAAAACAACAAAATATAGTCAATGTTGGGGCAGCCTGTTATTTTCTTGGAAAGAGCTAGTTCAGATGATTTACTATAGGCCAAAGATGGCCTGCCTAAAAATGTCCATATGTCGGTTCTGGTTCTGTCCTCTGGAATAACACGTGGGACATTAAACAAGTCTGCTCTGCCTTCTGTTTTATAACCCTCAAATATTTGAAAACAGCTGTCACGTGTTCTCCAGACAGCGTTTCCGGCTTACTCTGCCGTTCTGAGCAGAGCGGCTGTGGTTGGCAGGCAGCGCATCAGACCTGAGGGCTTTCTCAGAGGACATGGTGCCCAGTGAAACCAGGCTGGGTCCTCCAGAAAGGCTGCAGCAGCAGCCTGGCCTCTGGGCCTCTGGGCCTTGGGTGGAGGAGGTGTGCTAGGTTGGTCCTCAGCGGCCAGTTTCATTCGGGCTCCCACAGAATTCCCCCTGAGCCACCCGAGCAGTTCTTGAGGCTTTCAAGGCCATTGAACTCCAGAAAGAGGCTCGTGCAGACAGGACTAAAACCGTGTTTCAGTTATTCTCAGCTGGACAGATGGGCAGTTGTTTATTTTTAATTTAAGGTTAGGGGTCCTTGTTTTTTCTTTTGCTTATAGGGCATGTGTACTCGCCAGAGAAAGAGAGAAAGGGAAAATGAGAACTCACCCCTGTGAGGATGGCCACGTTGCAGTCCCTTCCCCATTGTCCTCTTAGGATGTTGGGTGTGCATTCACAGGTGCCTGGAGTGGTTTTCAAGCCAGCAGGTCCAGGACTCAAATGAGGGAGTCTGCTGTGTGGGAATCCAGCACCTTAGCCCGCACGCCACTTACCCTAGAGCCCCTTCTAATACTCCATGTCTTGTACTGTCTCTGCACACAGACTCCTGAGTGGGACTCCGAGTGCCTTACCTCCCTGCAGCCCCTCCCTCTTCCAACACCTCCAGCAGCTAATGAGGCTCATCTGCAGACTGCAGCCATCTCCCTGTGGACGGTGGTGGCTGCTGTGCAGGCCCTAGAGAGGAAGGTGGAGGTTCACAGCCGGCGGCTCCTACACCTAGAAGGCCGGACAGGGACAGCAGAGAAGAAGCTGGCTAGCTGTGAAAAGACGGTGACCGAGCTTGGGAACCAGCTGGAGGGCAAGTGGGCCGTGTTGGGGACGCTGCTGCAGGAGTACGGGCTGCTGCAGAGGCGGCTGGAGAACCTGGAGAACCTGCTGCGCAACAGGAACTTCTGGGTGCTGCGGCTGCCCCCGGGCATTAAAGGAGATCTCCCAAAGGTAATCACCTCTGCTCGCCCCTTAAGGGATAGTCTTGGTTAGTGACTTAAGGCATCTTTATTTCCTTTTTAAATTTCCTAAAATTTGTTAAACTGAAGAAGCACAAAGGTATTTTGTGTTTCTCTATGTGGAAAACCTCTGTTCAATTTAATTCTCATTTAGAGTGTCACCCTTCAGGTCAGAAACGTCTTTTTAACCAAAGTCGGCTATTTGGTAGATGGCTTTTTTTATTGCTTGCTTGCTTTCTCCTATTCATTACTCATGACCCTCTTCTTTCTTTGTGAGCCTATGTCTGTCAGAACCTTGGTGAGGAAACTAAGTTAAATATCATTTAAATCAGCTGATTTGAATTTGTAGGTACTTGTGAAAAAGTTAGAGGAGGACAAGATAGGATTGCACTGTTAAATGGTTAACAAAAGGGTTTGGGGTTGCCCATGGGTCTAAGGTCGATGTTGATTTTCTGCTTTACCTTTCTTTCCAGAAGCATGCTAGGATGCTCTAGCTTTCTGGAGGAAATAGCCCATTAGGAAAAAGGAAATAGCCTTGAGGCAGCTAGTTTCTCACATGCTTAGTGATTCATTCATTCAACAAATATTTCCTTGGGACCAGCAGTTAGCGTAATGGCTATGTCGCTGGACTCCCACGTAGTCGACTGCAGTTCTTGTCCTGGACCTGGTGGCTTAAACTCACGCCAGGCGCGTGTGTATGCGTGCCCAAGATCCCGAGAGGAGAATGGAGGAGAAGGGATTGCGGTGTGGCCATCCCCCCCGGGGGGTGATTTCTCTCTTTCTATCTCTCTGTCTCTCTTTCTGGCGAGCGCACACGCCCTGTAACAAAAATATATATATATATTTCCTGAATGCTTACTTACTATTACTGCATCCTGAGGGCATAGCAGTTTACTTAACCCTGGAGCTTTAGGTGAAAGGGAGATTACCTAAACACACACAAAAATATGTGCATTTTTTGCTTTGGTAAGTGTAAAACAGGGTTGGGCCAGCAGGTGGCATGGTGGTTAAAGGCATTAGATTTCCACATGGCCAACTGTGGTTCCAGTCCCAGACCTAGTGGTTTGCTTTCTCACTTTCCCTTTCTCCCTCTCTCTGATCAAATTTAAAAATAACAATAAAGGGAACCAGCAGTTAGCGTAATGGCTATGTCGCTGGACTCCCACGTAGTCGACCGCGGTTCGCGTCCCGGACCTGGTGGCTTAAAACTCACGCCGGGCGCGCGTGTGTGTGTGTGCCCAAGATCCCGAGAGGAGAATGGAGGAGAAGGGACTGTGGCGTGACCATCCCCCCTGGGGGTGATTTCTCGCTTTCTGTCTCTATGTCTCTCTCTGTCTGTCTGTCTGGCGAGCGCACGCGCCCTACAGTGAAAATCTCTCCAAAAGAAAAAAAGAAAAAAATAACAATAACAGGGGCCAGTAGGTGGCATGGTGGTTAAAGGTGCTGAATTCCCACATGGCTGGTCACAGTTCGAGTCCTGGCTTGCTTTCTCTGTCTCTGTCCCTCTCTGGTCAAACTGAAATAAAGGAATAAATAAATAAATAAAGTTAAATAAAAGTAACATACCCATTACACTAACTGCTGGTCCCGACTGGTTTATATTTTCAAAATCATTTTGGCTGCTTGTGGGAGAATGGGTCATGCAGGCAAGAACAGAAGCAGGAAGGAAATGAGGCCGCTGTGTACTAGGAGGGAGGAGAGCGTCTGGGCGAGGGCAGCAGAGGGGGTAGAGAGAAGTGGGCAGCCAGGGGTTTTCGATGGTCGAACTGATGTAGGACTGGCAGATGAGAATTAGGAAGTGGGGAACTGACAAACAATAATTGTAAATTGACTAGTCATTTTGGTAATTTACATAGAACTTACTGTCTGAACACTTTACTTTTTTTGTTAAAGGTTTTTACAATAGGGCACATGTACTCCTTGAAGAAGATCAGAGACAGAGAGGGGAAGTGAGAAATCAGTCCCCAGGGGCACTGGCCACACTGCAAACCCTTCTCTTCCATTCTTCTCTTGGGATTCTGGATACATACATACATGCCCAGTGTGATTTTCAAGCCACCAGGTCCAGGGCTTGAACCTCAGCCAGCCATGTGGGCGCCTAAAACACTACACAACCTGCTGGCCCCGCTCTTTACTTATTTTAAAGCACGTCATTTTCTTTCTTTTTTTGGGGGGGTGGGGGGGGTAAGGTTTTTGCTATAGGGTATGTGCTCTCACCTGAAAGACAGAGAGTGACAGAGAGACAGAAAGCAAGAAATCACCCCCCAGGGAGGATGGCCACGCCGCAGTCCCTTTTCCTCCATTTTCCTCACATGATCTTGAGCACACACGCACACGTGCCCAGCGTGAGTTTAAGCCACCGGGTCCAGGACTCGAACCACGGTCGACTACATGGGAGTCCAGCGACATAGCCATTACGCCAGCTGCTGGTCCCAAAGTGTGTCATTTTCATAAGGCCTGAGCTGATAGAGTTTCTAAATAGAAAGTACAGAGTTGTGGTTTAACCCAACTGGCTCCAGAGCTAGTGCTGGTAACCACCTTGGGTCTGTGGCTCTTGGGCTTTTGGCCTAAAGAACTGGAGGGATGATGTGGACATGTCCCTGAGGGAACTACGTCGGAGAAGTCCAGCGTTGGCAGTGAGATGGAAGTAGGAGTTCCTTGGCAGTGGTTGGTTCGAGGTGTCTGCAGCACGTGCAGGAGAGCTGTTCAGTGAGCTCTGAGGAAGAGAAGAGTCGGGAGCCGTTGGCGTAGAAGCGGTATTTGAGTTCTGAGGTGGAAGTGGTTATCTCCGGAGAGGAAGTGGACAGTAAGAGGGGCAGTCCAGGGACCAAGCTCCAGGGGTGAGAGGAGCCTGCAGAGGAGCGGAAGGGGAGAACAGTGAGGTCGGGAGAAGAGAAGTGAGAAGATGTGGTTCCACACGGGCCAAGGGAAAACAGTTCGAGGAGTCGTCACGTGGGGCAAGTATGTCCCTATAAAGACAAGGACAGTGAATAGGAGTGGGCAGCAGGGTCGCGGCAGCCTTGACGAGAAATGTTTCTGGGGTGTGGATAAAAGACTAAATGGACGCCAGCCAGTGGCGTGGTGGTTAAGGAGCTGGATCCCTCGTGGTTGACTGCAAGATTCAGATCTGGAGACCTGAAAAACGTCCAGCGTGAGGCCAGCAGGTCACTGGTGGCTAAGGCACTGGACTCCCACATGACCAGCCATGGATCGAGCCCTAGACCTGGCAGCTTGAAAATGATTCAGGGGACATGTGCATCCGTGCCCAAATTCCTAAGAGGAGCATGGAGGAGAAGGGGCTGTGGCGTGGTCATGTTCCTTGGGCAGTTGCTCTCTCAGTTTTCGTCTCTGTCCCTCCAGCAGGTGCGCCTGCCGTATCATATAGCAAACTCAGAGAACACGACCCGGCTGGACTGAAGAGTGAATGGAAAGAGAGATGGAGAGAGGAAAGATAGTCAGCTCTTTCTGTGAAGGGGAGCAGAGGCGAGGAGGTAGATGGGAGGGGTGTTGAGTCAGAGAACCTTACCTGCAGTGTGTCTTATTTGTTTATCTGGAGCCCCTCCAGAAGTTCCTGGACATAATTTAAACTTAGTGTTTCTTATAAGAATAGCTGTGGGGCTGGCAGGTGGCGTGGTGGTTAAGGCACTGGACTCCCATATGGCTGACTGCATTTTGAGTCCCGGACCTGGCAGCTTGCTCTCTTTCTCTCCCTCTCTCTGTCTCTACCTCGTCAAACTGAAAAACAATAATAATAAAAATAAATAATTATTTTTTAAAAAATAGCAGTAAAGGTAAGTTCATGTCCTAGAAGTAGGTAATGTCTAAATTGTCCATTGTAAACTCCAAAAATCACATATAAAAATATGTTCTGATTTTTCTTATAGATTTCTTAATGAAATGAAAATGCATTTAATTCTAATGTAGCTGTATTGAAGGTGATCTTCATTAAAATATGGGAAACAAACTTTTGTGTCCTTGTTTTCTCAAAAATGTCCTTTTGCTCTTGCCTTTAAATGCCAAGTCTTGGTCCAAAATAACTTGTCCTCATTTTTTTTTTTTTTTCCTGTTAAGAGAGATTTTTGTTATAGGGCATGTGCACTCACCAGAGAGACAGAAAGTGAGAAATCAACATCCCACGGGAGTGGCCACACCACAGCACAATCCCTCTTCCTTCATTCTTGGGATTTTGGGCACACATGCACACGTGCCTGGCATGAGTTTTGAGCCACCGGGTTCAGGACTGCAACCCCGGTCAACTACGTGGGAGTCTAGCGACATAACCATTACACCATTTGCTATTCCCAAATTTCTTAATGTAATTTTTTTGGGGAGTGGGGGGAGATTTTTTGCTATGGGGCACGTGCACTTACCAGAAAGACACAAAGTGAGAAATCACCCACCCCCGGGTTGGGGGGGATGGCCACGCCACAATCCCTTCTTCTTTATTCTCCTCTTGGGATCTTGGGCACGCACATATACACGCCTGGCATGAGTTTTAAGCCACCGGGTCCAGGACTCGAACCACGGTCGACTACATGGGAGTCCAGCGACATAGCCATTACGCTAACTGCTGGTTACCTTGTTTTTATTTTTGTTTTTGTCGTAGGTTACATGCACTCACTAGAGAGAAAGAAAAAGCGAGAAATCACCCCCCAGGGGGGATGGTCCCGCCGCAATCCCTTTTCCTCCATTCTCCTCTCGAGATCTTGGGCACGCACGCACACGTGCCTGGTTTGAGTTTTGAGCCACTGGGTCCAGGACGGGAACCACGGTCGACTACATGGGAGTCCAGCGACATAGCCATTACGCTAACTGCTGGTTCCCTTGTTTTTGTTTTTGTTTTTGTCGTAGGTTACATGCACTCACTAGAGAGAAAGAAAAAGTGAGAAATCACCCCAGGGACGGGGGAGGGGGGATGGCCATGCCATAATCCCTTCATTATCCTCTTGGGATTTGGGGCATGCACACACCTGGCATGGTTTTCAACCTACT